TATTTGGTATTCTCACGACAAGATCAGTGGCAGTTTGTGTTCCTAAGTCGAACAAACTAATTTGCTCAAAGAGCTTTATTTTCCTCCCAAACTGTTCTCCTATTTGTGAGATTGCCAGACCAGGTGGTTGTTCAGAGGAGAGTGGGAGGACATAATTTCAGTATGATGCTATCCTTGACCCACTAGTTTCCTTAATTGCATTTTGCTTAGAAGCTCTCTACAGCATATACTATAATAAGGATTCAAATGTGTTGTTACTTCTGAGTTACTACAGCTCTGCTGATGTGTGGTGGTTATGATGTATTTAAGCCATAGGGAGCATGAAATAGTTTGTGCTTTGGATTTAAGGTGCTGCCTTTTGCTTCACATCTGTGATGACACAGAATCGTAGAATCAGCTAGGTTGGAAAAAACCTGTAAGATCATCAAATCCAACCATTACCCTAGGACTGTAACGACCACCACTAGATTATGTCACTGAGGGCCTCATTTACACTGTTTTTGAACACTGCCAGGGACAGTGACTCCACCACTTCCCTGGGCAGCCTGTTCCAATGCCTGAGAACCCTCTCTGTGGAGAGATTTTCCTTAATACCCAATCTAAACCTTTCCAGGTGCAGCTTGAGGCTGTTACCCCTTGTCCTATCGCTTGTTGCATGGAAAAGACTGACCCCACCTTGCTTACAACTTCCTTTCAGGTGGTTGTAGAGATCAATAATGTCTCCCGTGAGTGTTCTCCAGACTAAACAACCCCAGTTCCCTCAGCCATTCCTCATCAGACTTATTCTTCAGACCCTTCACCAGCCTTTTTGCCCTTTTCTGGACCTGTTCCAGTACCTCACAGTTTGTCTTGCTGTGAAGGGCCCAGAGCTTAATACCATATTCAAAATGCAGCTTCACCAGCATTCATGTCGCCATTTACCTTGCTGTAGATGCAATGCAGCTATTTAGTAAGTGGTGGTGCCATGGGTGTTCAGGAGAAGCTCAGGTCGATGTAGGATGGAAGCAGATTAGGCTCTGAGCAGTGATGTGCCTTGAAAAGAAAACAGGAGCTACCTCCAGTTCTTGAAATAAGCCTTTTTTTAAAAAAAAAAAAAAAAGAAGTCTTACTCTGCCTTATGTACTCTAAAATCATTTAGATAATAAAATCTAAGTTATTCTACCCTGGGAGCCCCTCCACATTTGAAAGCATGACCTAGACATTTACCCGTTTGTCCCATGGCCCAGTCAGAAAAGGTTTCTCCAACACTGCTCCAAGCAACCTGCTGACTTGAATAAGTCTTGCTCTGCTTCCTGGAGGAATGAGGTGGATTTAAGTGTCTCTGACAGGAGCATGCAATAAGAAGAGAAACATCTTTGTGAAAGCTGGAGAATGAGACTGGAAACAGAAGGGCTTCGCCAAGATTCATTTTGGCTTGTGGGTGGTTAGGGGCCTGTAGGCAGCAGTTCTCCATCATGCATCACCCTGAGTGGCTGCATCGTGACTGACAGCAGCAGGGGAGGCTGGCTGGGGAAGAAATTTTTCTAGTATTTTCACTATAGCTGTCTCGTAACATTCTTGAGCCCTTCCTTATGCTTCAAGGAGAAGGTTTATGGGGCAGTTGGGATGCACCAAAATTGCACAGTGGCCATATGAAAATCCATATGCTGGATTTCATGAACTGATACATTTATGAGAATGAGGACAATGGAAACCTTTTATGTTTTGGTCTACCAGCACATGACATCTAAGCTGTCCTAGCCACTGCTTAACAAGGAGGTAGAAGTGAGTCAGGAAAAGAATGAGCTGGGAGTCATTAAGGGCTTTGTTCATCACTGTTTAAGCACAGAAGGAGAATAGGATTCATCTACTTAAGTATATGCATTGGTACCCTTTGAGAGACCTTTACGGTCCTTCAAGGGCAGTTGGTGAAAAACAGTGTTTTACAGTACCCCGAATAATTCTAGATGCTTGTATTTAGATACCTGCATTAGTCCCAGAATGTGGGATTCTCCTTGCAGTTTAAGACACCTAAACTGAAGTGCCTCTGTGTGAGCTGGGTCCATAGACTTGTGTAAGCAAGTAGAGATGTGGTCAGTCGGTGGAGCCTGAAGAGCTGCTCAGTGGAGCATGTGCAGGTGTCTGATTTGGCTCCACTGAGTCAGGCTGCAATTTAGATGTGTTTCTCAAATGTAGGCATTTAAACTCAAACACATGCCTTAGTTAAGTCAACCCTAGTTTGATGGTGTGATTCAGGTGCTTAAACCTACACACCTGTGACTGAAGGTTTGCTGCCATCTGTTAGTTGCCAGTCCATCAGCATCTGTATCTCCCATTTGTGTTGTGCCATATCTACCAGCCCTATGTGGATGCCTTAAGCATGCTGTGTATATATGTATTGTATATGCACACAATACTTGCAGTGTCAGCTTTCCCACTAAGCTCTGGAGAGGTGGCTACTGGCAAGAACAGCCCTGTCTCCAGGTTCTCTTCCTGTGTTTCATGACTATGCCATGTCCAACCAGCTCCAAATCCAGTCAAGCCTCTGCACAGGAGTGGGTCTACCGTCTGAGCCAGTTCCTGCTGGTGTCTTGCTTTCCCATCTCCTGTTCAACAGTGGTTGTCTTCTGTTCCAGATGGAGCAGATGCAAATGGGTTGGTGGAGGTGGGAGGGTTGAGAAAAGGCTGAGCTGATGAATGACTGCAGTGTGCAGCCCTTCTGCAAGTACCCCAGCAATTTTGCCCAATTTGCTGATGATCTGGGTGTGAAATCAGGTATAGGAGCTTTGTTTCACATGAACTCAGCTCTTACTTCTGGACAACCAGTGAAATGTGACTTTACATAAGGGATAGTATGGGTGAGGGGTTTAGTTTTCTTTCTTTTGGTGTTGAAACGTGTTCTGTACGCTCTTGTCTAACATTGTGGGATTTCTTGCAGAGTTGGCTAGACACTTTGGCATGCAGAGCGTGACAGCCCCTGACCAAGCCGGCCCAGCTGAGTACTATAAGCAGTAACACATCTCTCTCTGTAACCCGTCACTTGTTTGAATGCTACTGTGTATTATTGGATTGCACTTGAAAAGGTCTTGGCTGTCGCAGGAATGAAGTGTGACCATTGGCCAGGCTTTGCTGAAGGCCGTATTATGCATATTGTCTTTCTAAAAACATCTCTGTAATATCAGGATTGGACCAGACGCCAATTCTGAGTCCATGACCTATTGCACATTTGCAGATGGTGCTCAGCAGGACTCATGCAGCCAAATAATTAGGAACTGGATGGTCAGGAAATGGACTGGAGCCAGTCCTCTGCTGTCATGAGGCCATAATGTAGGCAGATGCCCTAATGGGCAAGGGGGAAGATTTATTTTTTTGTTTTTTAAATACCATAGATCCCCAAAAGAAGGGCACTTTCAGTAGTACTTTGACAGGAGGCAGCTCTGTAAAACAAACTCTGGTCTAACCTGCTATTTTAAGGGGTGGTTATACCTTATGCATTTAAGGTCCAAATGTAACCTATTTTGGGGGAAGGGACAGGGAGGAAGGACTAGAACTATAAATATCTGTTTATAATCAGTGGACAAAATGCAGGTTATTTGTGACTGTCCAAATAATATTTCTGCTCTCATGTTGCCTATAGAGGAGTCTCGGGTATAAATCTCTTTCTGAAGAAGATGGGGGTGGGGTGGGGTGTCTGTTTTCTGTTTCTTCACATCTTAACTTTTCAGAGGAAGGGAGGACACAGAGAAGAATGAGGAAGCCTTAGGCTTCATCCTACATGAAAATGCCCTTTATTAAACGCGTGTGGCCAGCAAGCAATGAATCTTTTTGTTTTAAAAAATAGAATCATAGAATCATAGAATAGTTAGGGTTGGAAAGGACCTCAAGATCATCAAGCTCCAACCCCCCTGCCATGGGCAGGGACACCTTGCTCTAAACCATATTACCCAAGGCCTCATCCAACCTTGCCTTGAACACTGCCAGGGATGAAGCATTCACAACCTCCCTGGACAACCCATTCCAGTGCCTCACCACCCTCACAGGAAAGAATTTCCTCCTTATATCTAATCTAAACTTCCCCTGTTTAAGTTTTAACCCATTACCCCTTGTCCTATCACTACAGTCCCTAATGAAGAGTCCATCCCCAGCATCCCTATAGGCCCCCTTACATGTAGGCTTCTTCATTGCTAGCAGAAGAAAATGGACATGTCCTTTTGAACGTACTACTGTACTTTGGAATAGAATCCTGAACACAGGATGGAGAGGCAGAAGCTGCCTGGATGTTTTTAGAGCTGCTGCTTTTGGTGAAGGTGAATTTGAGCTGTGTTCCTGAGAACTATATATATATATATGTATATATTTCAGCTACATGAAGCTCAGTCACGAAATGGGTGGGATGCTATACCTCATCACTACTGGTAGAAACAACACAGCTATACCATGTTTCCACTGAGCCTGTGCTGCTAATTGGGAGCTGTGTGAGTTTACAGTGGTATCTGATTTGATGTGGTATGGAGAAAGTTCCTACTTTCCACGCTCATGTTCTGGAGCATGTGCCACCCCATGTGTGTTTCTGTGTGTGTTACAGCAGCAATCCCCCTCTTTTCTCCACTAAACCAACTCCTTCCATGGTTGTTACATCTTATCTCCTTGTTCTTGCTAAAATAAGTAAGTGCTAAAACATGTATTGATCTCTTAGTTGCATCACAGCTTCCGACATCAATCTACATAAATGAGTGCCAGGACCAGACAGCCTTTGTATGCCTTACTAGTATAATTAACTAGCCAGTAAAGCATTATCCTAGCAGGTAAATATCATATTCTGTATTGTCATAACTGGGACCCTTCTGAAGCAAATAATTCTTCTGGTATGTGTTCTCTGTCCTCTTTCAACATATAGTTTTTGTACTGCCATCAACTTTGTGTTCCAGGAGTGTCTTCTAGCATATTATTTTTTTTTTTCCCTGTATCTTGATGGTTTTCCCCCATAACTGATTTTATTTTTGGGCTGTGTGTGTCTGCAGGTCATCAAAGCTGGAGTGGAGACAACCTGTAAATGCCATGGTGTATCTGGATCCTGTACTGTTCGAACGTGCTGGAGGCAGCTCTCTCCATTCCATGAAATAGGGAAGCAGCTGAAGCAGAAGTATGAGACATCGCTCAAAGTGGGCAGCACTACCAATGAGGCCACAGGAGAAGGAGACATCTCCCCACCCAAGAAGTCCATCCCTGGTCACAGTGATCAAATCCCAAGGACTACGGATCTTGTCTACATTGACGATTCCCCAAGCTTCTGTATGATGAGTAGATACTCACCTGGGACTTCAGGAAGGAAATGTTACAAAGACAAGAACTGTGACAGCATCTGCTGTGGGCGAGGGCACAATACACAGAGTCGGGTGGTCACCCGTCCATGCCAGTGCCAGGTCCGTTGGTGCTGCTATGTGGAATGCAAGCAATGCACCCAGAGAGAAGAGGTTTATACCTGCAAAGACTGACGTGTCTTCTGCTTGATGGCAACCCTTGGTGATGGGTGATGGCGATCTATAAGAACTGCATATGGAGACAAACAGGGTTTGATTGACCTTCTGGGATCTGAAAGCTATGTTGAGACATAAGCACTTTGTAGGGTACAGGTGACCCAGCTGTGTTGCTGTTTTGTTTTTGTTTTGTTTTGTTTTCCCGTAGACTGAATTTTAATGAGGTCCAACTATGTGGAAAAAAGTGCCTGTCACACTGGGGTTAGACACCAGTTGACCTTCACCTTAGTCTACGCAGTTTGATGGATCATTTATCCTTGGAACGTATTGATCGTTCCACCGACCCTCCATGAACTCCTGGGCTAGTATATTCTCTTTGTCATAAATAACCTATACTACTTTATTCCTGAAGCTTACCCAGCGGGTTAGAGAGATAAGCAGATAGAAAAGAGATCTGCTTCAAACATGATGGTACAGGAAGTGTTCATATATGTCCCCTTCTAAAACTGGAGAGATGTGTGTAGGGTAAGCAGGATCAGGCCTGATGGCTCCTTTAAGGGAGTTTCTGCACATTAAGCAAATAAAGCTCTGACAAAAAGACTCATTGGGAGGGTTAGCTTCTAACGCCGGCTCTGTATCCACATGCATTGATCACCAAATACAGCTCAAAAAATGTTGGGTCCACCATGTCGCAAACAGAAATATATCCAAGAAAGAGGTTGGGAAGATTAGAAAACCAGATGTGCCTGTCCCCTTCAGTCCAATCACGTGTTCTTTTTTACAGCTGGTTTCTTCAAATGCAGTTTCTTTAGCACTATTGTCCTTTTATTTTATTTTATTTTTAACAAAACCACTAGATATTTTTTAAATTTTATTTTCACTTTGTGCATGATTTATTTTTCTGTCCTCTTTCCACCTCTTGTTGATCAAATTCACCCTGTGGTAACTGCTTCAGAAATCTGAACTGGAACTTTCGAGTCTTATGCCAGCTGAATTTGGACGTATATTTCTGAGTAGGACAAGAGAAATTCAAGTGTATCTTGGAACACAGTGCTGTCTTGCATTTTATAGCAGCCATTTTGGACTGGATCAGACCTCTGGAGGAGTTGACTTTTCTGTTATTAGGTCATCATTCCATTTACTCTAAACCATGGCAGTGGTACATGACACAAGCTGTATGTAAGCCTTATGACCTTAAGATTTTTCTTTTTTTCTTTCTTTTTTTTTTTTTTTTTTAACCACTAGATTGAGGACTGTATTTAAAGAATAAAACTGCTAAATGGTAACCAACTCTTGGATTCTGAACAACCAACTGACACAAACTGTCAAGTGGCCAGAGAAGCCACAAATTGACTGCAGTTGTAGATGGCTCTGATGCTGTGAAATAGATGGCAACCTTCAGCATTTCTTCTTTTGTTTGAAGAGGATACTTACAATCCAGGACTTGATGCAACAATATTCTTCAGTCATATAAAAGTGGATTGGAAGCAGCCAGTGGATGCCTCAAAGAAGTTTTCTAAGGAGACATTGGAGAGCAGAGGGCATTTTGTTTTATTTTTGGTAGCAATTTTTGACTGTCCAGTAGTAGCAATTTCCACCAGTTCTATGTAAACAATTGATCTGGTTCTCAAAAGAGGAAAGCTGGCTGGAGTTTTTCAACTGGTAGTAAATGTTAGCCAAGCAGAAAGAGAGCAGTTTTCCAAGATGGACCATTATATTTCAAGGTGGTTTTAACTTTCTTTTTTTTTTTTTTTCTCCCAAAATAGTAGCCACTAATATTTAAGCTGTTCATGTGCATCTACTGGGAGAAGATATTTTTAACAAATACCTGCAGTCCAGCCCGGCTTGTTGGCATGAAATCTTGAGGTGTAAGCATGGGGATGGACAGGGTGGTATTGTTAATAGCGCTAAGGTCCTGCAAAGTGAAGTTACTGTCTCTTTTTTTGCTGTTTGCTTACTTGATGTACAATTCTGGAGGCTGGGGTAGTGCTGGAGAAGGAGGAACCCACATACGGTGTCTGTCCCTTCCACAGCAGCAAATGTGCAGCAGTGCATACAATGCAGCGAGTTTGCAAGAAGGTCTCGCAGCTTCTGGGAGATGCACCACTTTGAGAGTCGCCCACAAGCAGTTTATCTAAATGGTTTAAAAAATAAACTAACTAGAAATCTATTATTCAGCATGTGTGTATATATACACACATGCCTTCACAAAAATATATATATAAATATTGAATGAACATTTATTTATTTTAAAGCCCTTCAGAAGGACCTAGTAAATGGTTTTAATGTGGTATTATGTTAAATTGTTTCCCCCCCGTCTCTCACACATACGTGCAAAGTCACTGTTACATTTTCGTGTGTGTGATAGAATAGCTCTTCCCCTCCAAAGTAAGGCCAGATCCAAACTTGCTCAAAATGTGAGGATTTTGGGGTCTGAATTACTATTTCTGGCTCCACTCTTTAAAAAAAAAAAAAAAAGAAAAAAAAAGAAAGAAGGTTCTTAATTAAAGAATCTACCACAACTTATGTGCATTATTATTACTAATTATTGTTATATTTAAACCATGGGCCTCATTTTCCTTCTTTTCACTGGTGTCTCTGTCTCCATTGACCTTGCTGGAGTAACTCCACATTGCACTGGTGTGAGAGGAGAATGAGTCCCTAGATGTAGAAGAGAAGGCAGTGTGGGCATAAATATTGTTGTGGAGAAAATGCCTGGGTCAGATGGGATAGGGTAGCTTGGTCTGTTTGGCAGTGGGGCGGGGGAGAGAGAGATGGGTGGGCAATAAGACAGACTGTCAAAGCTTGACTAGAGGAAGGCAGCAAAGAGTGAATGAACTACTGAGTGAAAGAGCTCTTCTGTGTATTATAACTCACGCACTGAAGCCTGGATGCTTTCTGTAAGTATTTAAAATAAAAAAAAAACAAACAACAAAAACCCACAGAAAAAGCAAATTGTATTTATGTTAATGTGGATATATTACTTGCCTGTTATATATTGTAAATAGCAAGGTTTATTCTCCTGTGGTTAAAAAAAATATAAATAACTAAATAGTAGCGAGGCACATGTGTTAAATGTATAGGCAGTGTATAAAATATACTAACACTCTGAAATCAGGAGAACTTGTCTTCTTGGCCTTTTGACCTAGGGTGGTAAAACATATGTGGGTTATTTTTCTTCTTCCCCCCACCATGTTATATGTGTGTTGGGGGGTGTTTAGTTCCAGCATTTTCCAATGTTTGCCTTATCTTTGAAGAAAGAATGGGGGGAAAAGCCTCATTCTGGAAAAAATCCAGTGGAGCTTGAGTAGGATGAAACAAGTAGCAACTGGTAGAAAAGATGTCAGACCCTCTCAAAATTCTCTCAGGTGATTAACTTGGGTTTTCTGCTGGTGATAATGTGTGTTGGGATTGAACTAACCCATGGAGCAGGAGTTTCTGCTTGTGTTACTCCATATGTGAGTTCAGGAAACCCTAGACAGCAGACCCTGAAGCCTTCTATAAAACATTGGGCAGTGTCCTGCAAACTGCTTTTTATTCCAGCTGCATGAAATTGGATTTTTCCAGAGAGGCTGATTCTACATCACTACATCTCTAGTGCAATTCAATTTAATTGCTCAGTTTTGTAAAACCGCTACAAGAATGGATTTGAGTCCCTGATCATTCACAGTGTCATTTGATATATATATATATATATATATAAAAAGTGCAAAGCAACTTTTTTCCTTTTTCTTACCCCCATAGAAACAGGTTTTTGCAGCAGATGTAACTGGAGAAGGACAGATGGGTGACCGGGGGATTCTCTGGTTTCCTATCCCCTTTCACCCGCTGTCTCCCAAAAGTGTCAAAGTGTTGGTTCTCCTAAGCTGATCCAGCAAAACTTGTGAGATCAGTTTTGGGGTGGGGGGTGGGGGGGGGTGCAACCATTATTTATATAACTTTTTAATTAATTTTTTTAAAAGAGAAGTTAGCTGATGGAAGAATATTTTTATTGAATAGTGCATTTAGTTATGTCAGAAATATAAAAAAATATATATAATATTTTTGTAAACAAGGCAAACTGAAAATGTTTGCTGTTTTATATTAGAATTTTCTATTAAAAGAAATAAAAGCCCACACAAATAATTGTTGCACCCGTCATCTGTTTTTTAACAAGCTTCTGTTCTGTGTAACTGACTCATATATGCCTGATGTGGAGACATGCAAAACAAGTCCTAAACATTACATTCTCATTGTTTTCCACCTCTCAAAATACTCCAGTTGATAAATCAACTAAGGTTTAACAAAGGGGCATTTTTTTTTTTTATTCTTGACACTAAAAATGAGTTATGAAGAATGAGTAGCTTGTAAATAAATACAAAAACCTACCCTCAAACTTCAAGCTTGCTCTTTTATAGTTATGCATCCTGGTTGTGAGATGGCTTGAAAACTAAAGCCTATTTATAATAACTAGATATTTGCTGTTGCTCTCAGTTGTCCTGGGAAGAATGACTCTTAAAAAGGTTATTGTGAGGGGGGGGGGGAATAAAAATCTGATACCTGGGAAGGTTAAATGAAGAGGACCAAATCCCAGGCTTGACTTAATATAAACAATTTTTATCTGTTTGAGTGAGGTGGTGTAAAACTTGGGAGCTGGGAACTTGGTCTACTGTGGTTTAGGGAAGCCTGTTGTTCACCTTGGGAAGCACCTTTGAGTTATGGACTGTCTGTTTTCAAAAGAGCTTTCGGAATTGAAGACCTGAGCAGGGGAAAGATAATTTCTGAGGACTTTTTGTGGTCAGCCAGCTCGTACACATCTGCCTTCCTTCAGCCCAGGTCTTGAATTTCTTTGTTAATTGTTTTTCAGCTGCCCAATTTTAGTGAACGTATATTAGGTTGTTTTGGCTGTGGTAGGGTTTGATGAGAACCCAGATGAAGGGGCATATTTCTCAAGGGTACTTTCATGGAGTAGATGCTGCTTAAGGTAATTTCCTGGTGGATTATAGTGCCTGTGAAAAATTCCTCAGTTGATGTTGCAGTAAAATTAAGTCTGTTCTGTGCTAAATAAAACAGGTGCAGCAAAGCTCTCAGTTACCAGTTTATTTGGCTCTGCATGCGCATCTGTTGGGTAGACTCTGGCTTCTATGGTCAGCTCGTCCTGGTTTTCAGTTTTC